AATTTTTTGTATGTACTAAGTTCGCACCAAAACGAATAAATATAAACCAGCAGTTCAAGCACTAATTACGGAGTTTCAATTTAACCCCTATTAGTAGCTACAGTAGGTCAACGTTACTTCGGTAATAAACACCTAACCATGGCTCAAATTAAAGAGAAACAAGTTTACGTCCCTTTGGAAATTGCAATTTAACTCGTTGAGTACCGTCATTATAGACACAATTATAGAACAATAGGTTGCGGTCATCGGTGACCGCTCGGTGTTTGGCAGTTTAAGCTGCTTAGTTTGTTTTTGAGCAATGGTTTTACAGTTTCGGAAGACATTAAGACTATAGACATCAAATCAAAATCTAGGTCATCCTGTAAGTTCTACACTGTCATCCTGAAAGTTGTATAGGACATGTCTTGGCAGTGCACTACTTTATAATGAGTATCAAACTTGTAAATCTACATTGTTGCAAACTAAATCAGAAAGTTAGTTTAGTAACATTGTTTACAATCAAATAACCACAAATAGTTAAAAACAGTATCTACATCTTAACTCGTCGAGTACCGGTTTTATAGACACAATTATAGAACAATAGGCTGCGGTCACCGGTGACCACTTGGTGTTTGACAGTTTAAGAACAAATTTAACCTAACTTATCACTGACAAAGTATCTCTATTGACTTGGTTTCACAACATGCTCAATAACTATTTGAGAACAACTAAGCTTAGCCTACATTATTATCTACAGCAAACAGTCAATATTTGAATAATTATATCTCAGTTTCTCCTCTATCACTATTTGTTTCTGATTTAACACTGACATTTGTTCACAAATATAAACTTTCTTTATCAATGGCTACATAAAATTTAATTACCATAACATAATGCCTCTGCATTTCCGTCTTCTCACTGGCCAGTTTCTCACATTCCAATTTTAAACTGTAAACAATGAATTCAAAGTTAATCTTTTGATAAGATCATGATTATGGATTAAACTGATCAAATTAGAATTCTTAAATAATGCAAATATGTAACTCAGTATACTTACGTATGGTACTGAGCTTGAAGAAAGTTGAATTCCTCTTTAATACGCTCTAGTGTGTCTGCTATTGTAAATTTAATAGGTCCTGACGGCGGCTGAGGACCCTAAACAAACAGAGACAAACAATAATAGGGTCTAAGCAAAAATTACTTCAATAAGCAACTTTTGAAGATAACACTTCAAAGAATTATATATTTATATTATGTTGACAAGCAGGTGAAGATATAAAAACAACACAAACCCTTACCGCGGCAGCCGGGTGCCGCGTAGCTGTTGGATACATATTAACAAATATCTACCGCAATATCTCCAGTATACACAATCAAATATAGTTTTCTTTTGATCCGTTTGCTAACACCATCGACACCATCTCCTAGATATCACTGTCCACCGCTGCTATAACACACCAAACACCGGAGAGCTCGACTTACGCGCTAACGACAATGATATGCACAAACTTTGCCTCGAAACTTTTGAATTATCGGTCATTATATTGACATCAACAACTAGTAAGTAGAACTATCAATCACCATGCAGTAACGCGGTTAATTATATTCTAACATCTATTTCGAGATGCAGTCAACAGATTTTCGCAAATTTTTTAACCATAAATCCACGCCGTAATTTTTGTTCGGCTGTCATGTCATCCATCATCATTCATCACAAGAATGGCATTCTCGAATTTGTGATACATCGTCATTTTTATGCGTCATACATTGCTGGCTCTTAAACCATAAACTTATCATTCTTCATTTATATCCACGAGAATTTCATCCAGTACATCAAAGATGAAAACCACCTAACTGTCGTGGCGTGGCGTGGCCACGGCGCCACGACATACAAAGCCTGTACTGTAATGTAATCTGTCTCTTCTTAAAGGCATTCTTCCGTCTTTCCATGGGCGGCCCTGATCGCTTACCATCAGGTCATCCGTCTGCTCGTTTGCCTCCTATTCCATAAAAAAGGGCACTCGGGATCCGTGACCAGGGCGCCATCCTCAGGGGGCCCCGAAGGACCCATAATTTCTTCGACGGACACAGCAACCGGATGTCGCGCAACTCGGAGGGAGGAGATTCGATTTCCGCATGGAGCAAATCTTTGTGTGCTCCAGAAATTGTTGTTTCTGGTCTGTGTGTCATGTTTATTTGAACTTGATTGTAAATGCACCCAATTCCCGATTTATTGTGTGGTCTAGGGCCCCAGAGTGCTCGGAGGACTTAACGTTGGCATAACGTACTAGTTTGTTTTATGTTTAACGAGATCGAAGAGAGACGCTTCTTCTTTGATGCTCTGATTGGCAGTCTCGTTAAACGTAAAACAAACTTGGACTATGTCTTCTGATGACGACACGAGTTAGTTTTAGTTTCTGCGTATAATTTTTTTTTAAGTTGCCCTGATTATTTTCTATGTGTCGTGGGTGCGTTTATACATCACATCATGTGATACCCAGACCAGAACTACAAGCAAAGAGTTGCTTCACACGGTTGCCAAGCCACCGCGCCAACCGTGCAGTCAAATAGATTAATGTATGAACGGGAAAAGGTTTACTGGATGTATTTTTTATTTTACTAGCACTGGACGCTACATGAGTCTCCCACTTTCCCGTTCAACAGACGGCGTGGTCAAGACTTCAGCCCACAAGATATGACCACGCGTGACGCGTCACTGTCATATATGGGGGATACAGCCTGCTGCTTGTTACCATTGGACTTGATACTATATCAGGTTCGGCATGAAGTCGGCTCGACTACTCAAAGTTCTCGACTACAATAGCAACCGCTGAAATAGGCATTGGCTTGGATCAAGTTTTCTCGCTTATCCCGGCGCAGATACGCTGAGACGGCTCCACGTTGGCACGTTCGATGACAACAACGACGATTTTAATTTTTAACAATATCAAATCTAGTTTTTCATCGATACGAGACGACAGTATTATAATATGCATTCATTCAAATACTATTTCCAAAAAACAAATATCCACATACTGGCTTCAAAATAAAAGAGTTTGTCTATGATAGTTGGACACGTTGTCTGTGGTTATTTTTGTAATATTAAATTTAGGCAGATTTGGCAGATCGTCGTCGCGCTGCAGCTGTTTGTAGGGCGACTGAGCTTGCAGTGTCGAAGTGTTTTGAAAATAATCTGACTGGTTGCTTTGTTTTGTCGTGTTACAGTGTCTTTTCAATGATTTTATTCAGAAGAAAGTGCTGTTCCAGAAGTGATTTTAAGTTTTTGTGATTTTTTTACCAAGCAAAGAGAACCATCATGGATTTCAAAACAGTCGTTTTCAACGCTGCTCGAGATGGCAATCTTACGCGACTAAAAGTAGGTATATTACAAGTAATTATATCAAAATTAATACAGTAATCATTGAAAAAGCTTTAAAAATAAAATTTAGTTCATCATCTTATTAGTTTTTCTGCTTCTAAGTGTAGAAAGTACAGTTATCCTATTCCACTTGTTCCAATGCAGCTCCTTTTTCTAATTGGATATTTGATCCAATGTAGCGTAATAACAAAGCCAAAATGAATAAAATGATGATAAAATTTTAAAACATTGTTTATTGTAACCATATTTTCCCAATTTTATCTTATCGCCGTTACGCATTACAATGAAAAATATCTACGTAATAGGTGCTGTCGTAACTCGTAACGCAAAACATACATTTTGTCAGTATTTTTAGATGATAATTCGATTCATTTTGAATTTAAACACTTTTATTAATACCTACATATGTGTAGGTATAAAGTACATCTATAAAAAAATCGGTCTGAGAAGTTATACAAAAGAATGTAAAATACATACTTACAAACTACCTAACCTTATGTTGAGTGTAAACAAGGAAAAACTATGTACCTACCTACTTATTTTATTTTAAGTGCACATCGACTAAATAACGAAATACTGTAAATTTATAATACCAAAGGGATGTCAGAAGTGCTAATATAAAATATAATGAAAGCATTTTTGCATACATGTAGCTACCTACCTACCTAAATAAAAATCGACAACAGTGAGCTGTCAATATAAATACCAATTTATTATATATATGCCTATCTAATAGTTACTCCAATTTTATATATTTTAGGATTATTAGAACACTATGTTGCACATATTATTGATTTGTGTAATAAATGCATTAATTTAAATTCAGATGCTGATGCTTACTGATTAGGTGGAGAAAATGCTTGTGGTTTCTCTCTTGCACTTAGTGTGAAAGCAAGTCAATATCTGTAGTTGTGTACCATAAATGTAGGGATCTATTAACTCGTCGAGTACCGGTTTTGCAGACACAATTATAGAACAATAGGTTGCGGTCACCGGTGACCGCTTGGTGTTTGACAGTTTAAATTGCTTGCTTGTTTCTTGTTTGAGATTAATTTTGTTAATATTATGTTATTAGGAGGTAGGTACACCTATATAAGATAGGTACCTTCTTAGCTCCCAATTTTCTTACGAAGCTACTTTATGAACTTCTATCTATATGTAGGTATTAAACTGTCAAACACCGCGAGGACACCGGTGACTGCAACCAATTGTTCTTTAACTCGTTGAGTACTGTCATTACAGACACAACTAAAGAACAATAGGTTGTGGTCACCGGTGACCGCTTGGTGTTTGACAGTTTGTGTCTATAATGACGGTACTCAGAAGGAGACTGACAGATTTAGAGATTGTCTCATGGTTTTGACTATGTCTAATTAGATTTCCATTTTCTTTTATTATATGAAAGGTACATCAATAAGACTAATAAGATATATTGTGAAATAGGCATATATTATTGTGAAATAATAAATATAATATATTATATCTGTGTCTTTTCCATTGCCACTAAGCAGTTAAGAATTGTGTTGCTATGCTAATTTAAAATACTTTTCTATTAATTTGGTACGTACGTACGTACAGTTAAATTTTGTAATTATTGTCCCTTAAATTTTGTATCAGTAAATTTCATTAAAGTTTTCTGATATTTCAATATGGTTTATGCTAAAAATGCATGTTTTGTCTATTTTACAGAAACATTATGCAAACAGACTATTTTCAATGATTACAGTTGAAAAAGCCTTTTATTAAAGTTCAAAGTTCACATGGCACTGATAAGTGTGGGTCATCTTATCAGTTCCTATGTCAGCTATTCATAACATGCACATAGAAAACAACATCGTAAACATTATTATTTATTAACACACATTTAAAATTATTGTCAACATACTAGGTCTATCAACATTTTAATGAAACAAAACTGGTTTCGTATATGGTAGTCATAATGATTTGCAAAAACAGATCTAGCAAAAAGTATACCTATTAATTATTTTGTTAATGTAGCAAAAAGTATATATAAGCTATAAAATTGAAATCATTGCTTTGTCAACCCTGACCTTTTTAAATAAAATCAGCCAGTACCTTTTTTTTATAAGTGGTGAGCTGATTGATAATTCAATTATTTTACAAACATAATGTTATTATTTGTGACATTTACACATCAATTAATATACATATTTTTGATTTCTGTTATAGTTAAGTGATCACACTAAGAATCCAGCTGCTTAGTTATGAAAAACCTATTCTTTAAACTGTCAAACACCAAGCGGTCACCTGTGACCGCAACCTATTGTTCTATAATTGTGTCTACAAAACCAGTACTCGACGAGTTAATCTAGTCTAGAATCTGGATAAAGATCTATCTATCTTAACTAATAAACATGTATCCATAAAGTGTATACATGAAATACAATTTCACTGGGAAACTGAAGACAGATACTCAAGCAAAAATGGGATAAGTTACTAATAAAATCTAACTTGGTTTCATACATAGATACAAGGTAAACAAATGAATATATTTTCCTATATATTGATGAAGCGAAAGAGGTATGTAGGAATCATTGTAATTGGTGTTCCCTCTGCCTACCCCCATGGGATACAGGCATGGAGTTATGTATGTATGTATATTTTCCTATTTATATCCAGCTACTACTATCAGTTGTCTCCTGATGGTATTGAAATATTCTGCTGGCCATATTTATTGCAGAGGTAAAAGTGTGTAATTGTGGTACATTTTACAATGCAGACTGACTTTCCCCTATGATCTAGAATAGTTAGATAAACATTTTATCTAAAGTTTCTCTGTATAATAACTGCAAGGTGATCTATTCTATTGTCTCTTTGTTATCTGACAATGTCATCTCAGTATAAATCATCATGCTTTGAATTTATGTTCACTCTTTTAACTTTGTTGAGTAAACCATTATTTAGTCTGTTGAAGAAACATAATTATGCTTATAGATATTATGTAGGCACTATAGTATAATTTTTATTAACAGTTATTATACCAATAGACCTGTCATGTTCTGACGCCATACCGCTATACTGAAGTGATACCATGACCAAAACTCAAAAGGTATTATCCATGGGCAGCACTGATTACTTACCATTAGCTGATCATGTACCCGATTCCACAAAACACATTTCGTTGTTCAAGTTCAAAGACTACTCAGGATTCACATACCACAGTCAAACCTATGTATCCGTTGCTGATTCCTTCTTAAACTTTATATGCTAAATATTAGTCTCATCATCATCATCATCATCATCATCATCATCATCTTACTAGTTCTGTAGTGTATCAGACAGTTTCAAGTCTTCTTTGACTTCAATAGTTTTATTCAC